CCCCCACCTCCATCTCCCCCCCCACCTCCTTCTCCTCCAGCTGGCGGGCAGGAGGAGCGGGCTGCGTTGTAGCGGTGATTAGTCATCCACCAGGACTCCTTGGAAAGTGATGGAATTGCACATTCTAGACACTACATAAAAATAAAAAACAGCGAAAAACCCGCGATTTCATTGGAACAGTGTCCTACTTGGAAGCTTAGCTTGGTAGGTCTTCAATTCCGGCCTCACTCCATCCTGTTCTCTGTAACATCCATCCTCTCCACGCAGTCACAGGAGAGAGGTGCGTGGAATGGGTCCCGCTCCCGGGAGAGAGACTGAGCACAGCCGGGGTCTTCAGTGGACGGCCAGGCGCCTGCGAGCCCCGCCCTGTCCTGTCCAGTGTCTGATTTTATGCCGAGGCATTCGGGCCTGGGCCCCAGTTCTGCATCTGCACAGCGTGGTGTCACAGCATGGTGCACTCCCCTTGCAGAGCGCCGTCCAGGTGGGCTGACGTCGCCTGTGACCAGCTCACAGCGTCCGCCAGCTCCAGGCGGGGACTGGGGTGTGGAGAGTGTGGCCCTCTGAGGCCTCTTCGCCTGGCAGAGGGAGCCGGGAGGGAGCACCGGCGGGCGCTGTAGGTGTCAGCGGGCAAAGGGGACAGCGTGGATCAGAGGACGGGTTCTGTGAGGAGTGAGTTTCTCCAGAGAGCGGCTTCCAGTCTGTCCGTAGCAGCTCCTCGGGGATGGGGCTCGGGCTGGCCTCCCACGCACTGTCCCTGTAGGTCTGGGTTCCGGGCCTCACCACAACAGTGGCTGCCCTGGCTGAATGGCCTCGGAGTCTGAGGGGTCCTGGGGAGGGCTGCAGGGCCGAGGAGGAGCTTTCCCGCTGCCTCCGCGCAGGCAGCTCTCCTGGCGCTGCTGCTGATCTGTGCCCATTCCTTCTCCCCTCAGCCTCCTGACAGCGGGCCCCCGCCGCTGCCGACGTCCTCCCTCCCGGAAGGCTACTACGAGGAGGCTGTGCCGCTGAGCCCCGGAAAGGCCCCGGAGTACATCACGTCCAGTGAGTGGCAGGCCCGCGGGGCACGGGTGGACCAGGCCTCGCCCAGGTGTGGAGGGGGATGGGCCCTGTGCCCCAGCACAGCGACCGGGGCGAAGGGACCTTGGCCTCGGGGGCAGCAGCGGTGCGAGGAGGCATCTGAGGAGTGGAGGTGCCGCCCGGTGCCGACCCAGCGCTTCCTGGAGGCCCCGTCGGAGGTCTTGTGCCGTGGCGATGAGCGTCGTGGGTGAAGTGTTCCTTTTGGGCAGCAGAGTCGTGGCTCCCCGTGGCCTGTTTCAGGGGTGCCAGCCACTTGGTCTTCGGCCAGAGTCTGATCCCTCACGCACAGCTCGCAGCCACTTCTGCCAGGCTGCTGGGCGGGCGGGAATGGCCTGGTACCGAGCAGAGGCTCTCTGCTGCAGGCTTTCGTTTGCTTGTTTGTCTCTTTGGAGGGAGAACGGGTTCCGCTGGGAAGTTTGTGCCGAAGCCGTTCTCATGGCCGGGTGTCCGCCCACTGATAACCCGAGGTGCCCGTGGCCGCACCGGCTTTAGTGCGGGCTGAGCAGCCGATGTGGAGAGCCTCATGGTCGTCTCTCCGGCTTGCTTTGAGTGACCCGTGCTTCTCCTCCCAGTCTCCTGCCAGCCAGGGCGCCCTGTCTCAGAGAGAAATCCCACTGCTGTGTGAGTCCGTCAGCCGAGGGAGTCCACTTGCCTCCTTGTGGGGTAGATGCAGGGGAAGTGAGCGGTTGCCGGCTTCCAGGGCAGCACCCCCTGTGGTTCACGTGTCACACGGAGCTCTCGCCTGCACTGCACTGCAGAGGCTCCCTTCTCCCAGTGTCACAGGGTGTTGCCCCAAGTCTGTGCTCCATGGAGACTTGGGGTTTCCTGGTCTTTCCTTCGCTGCATGGTGCATGGGCCTGGCTGCCTCTCAAAGCAGAATCTGTCTCAATGGTGGAAGGTGACTGTCACAGCAGGGGCCCCAGGACGTCCTTTCCTGGGGCCTGGTAGGAGCGGGCAGCCTGGCTGTGCCCCTGGCCCAGCACCTTCCCACCCACCTGGCCCTGGGCCGCCCTGCCCAGGCCGTGCTCCTGTCAGTCATCCCTGTGGCTCTGGTGAGCAGGGGACAGCTCCGATGCAGAGCCCGGGGCATTCAGGAGTTGAGATCTGCAAGGTGAACGTCTTCCTTTCTCTTCCTCTTAAGAACCTTCTGGCAGAAGGCAGGCCATGCATTGCCACAGCCTCTGTGGGCCCTGGCCGGGGAGCCGATGAGGACACAGAGAAGCGCAGGGCCTGTCCCTGTCCACGCCTTCTCACCTCGTACCCCTTTCTCGTGGCTGGCCATGAGGGTGCTGGGAGCCTTGGCGCTGCCTGCTCCCCTCCTTCTGATGAGCTCCCAGGGCCACATGCCGAGGCAATCCTGCCTAGCTTGGGGCCCTCGTGGGCTTCCCGCTGGCAGCAGGTGTGTGACTCGAATGCTCTCAGCCACTGCCCTGAGAGCCCTGGTGCTGCCCGGTTTGCTGGGCATGGCCGCCCCTCTCTTGAAGAGCGACAGGCACAGGAGGCCAAGCCGAGCCCGGCCCCACCTGCCGCCTTGTCCAGGTAGACAGAAACTCAGAACCCGTTCACAGAACCGACTCGGTTCGGGCTTTGTCAGAGGCTCAGGGGATATGGGGGACTGAGCTGGCCGCTCTCCCTCAGAATAGAAGGCTGTTGTTCTCTCTGCCTAGGAGGGCGGCTGTGGAGAGGAGGCCTGGGGACGAGGAAGGACAGGCTGGCACCCATGTGTCCACTCGCGGATGCGGGGCCTGCAGGAGGGGCTGGGAGCCGTGCCCGAGCCGCAGGTGCCGGCCCGCACTGAGGCAGGACCTGTGCCTATGACAGAAACCCCCTGGCCCTCAGAGAGGACGCAGTCCCTTCCTCCACCCCAGCAACAGCATTCTCACCCAGCTGGACACGGTGGCCCCACAGTGACTTAGCCCCTGAGACTCGAGGTTACCCCCGTGTGCCCTTCTTCCGTGGGTGGAGGAGGCTGGGCACAGGGCAGAAGGGAGGTGTCTGCTTGCTCAGTTACGCGTGGAAGCAGGGAAGGAACCGTCACAGGCTCCCTCCCCTCGCATTCAGCGGTCAGCAGCCACCAACATGATTTCCTTCAGCGCCAGCGGAGTCCCCTTTGCTGCCACAGCCTCCTTGCTCAGCCATGGCTCGTCCTCTGATGGGCGACCCCAGGCTGGTCTGGGAAGGCCTGGGCCTTTGGGCCTTACTTCCTGTATTGGACGGCTGTGGCTCGTCAGCCTTAATCACAGTCAGGGTTGGCCCTCTGCTTCTCCTCAGTGAGTGTGACGCCTTCTCTGCCTATGGCTTTCCAGGTCCAAGGAGCCCAGCGTGGCTGGGGACGGTCTCCGCTTCCAGCTTAGTGGAACCACAGCCACCTCCCGCCCCTGGGCTGTGCATCCAGAACCCTGGGAAGGGAGGCACAGGTGTCAGGAGTGGTCACCAGGAGCCTTGGGCCTGGCGAGTGCTGGCTGTAGGGGAAGGGCGCACACTACCGGGAGACCTCCCAGCCCCCTGAGGTGTTACAAGGGCTGGCGCTGTGGCTGAGGTTCAGAGCTCGGTCCACCTGCCAGTCCAGCAGGCTTCGTCAGGCTGGGAGGGGGTGGGGTGGCTTCTCTGCCTCATACACAGCACACGAGGCCCTCGCCCAGGGCAGGGCTGCATGCAAAGGATCTAAGGGGGATCACTTTCGCTGTCCCCCACTGCAGGGAGTCGGCCATGGTGACAACCCCTCTTGGGGGCAGCTGATAGGGACAGTGTCACGTGGTGGGAGGTCAGAGCTGGCCTCTGCTCTCTGCAGATGGAGGACCAGAAGCGCCCAGATTAGGTTTCCTGAGTCAAGGCCATGTTGCCAAGTTCCATGCCCATGTCCTCAGCCACTTGTATGTGAGCCCGTGGGGACAAGAGTCTGGGAAGGCGACCGACGTGTGTGTGGGTCATGGTGCCAGCCTGCTGAGGTGGCTTAGCCAGGCATTGACCTGGCACACGGACACCACACTGCCCTCATGGGGTCCGTGCCCGGACCACTGGGTACCAGTTTTCTATCAGGCTCCTCTCAAGTCCCGAACACAGGTCCAAACCTCGGGGCAATGCTGGTGCATCAGCGCTGACAGGAGGATGCCGTGTCACAGGAGTAGGGGCAGGGACAGCGAAGCTAGTTGCTTTTGCCACTTGCTCATGTCTTTGGGACACAGTGGTGTCTGCTCTCACATAGACCGCACTAACCCACTTCAGTTTGATGGCAGAGGGTCCCGCTCTGCGTGGTGATGGAGTGCCCTGTACACCTCTGTCCTCATTACTTTTCTCGTTGCTGAGACAAAAGGCTAAAGGAGGAAAGGTTTATTCAGCTCACAGTTTCAGAGGTTTTAGTCCATACTCGGCTTGCTCCAAGGCAGGGTGGCCTGCCAGAAGGATCCCAGAGGAGAAATGTACATGGCGGGAAGAAGGCAGCAAAGCAAGCGAGAGAACCGACAAGTGACCTTAGCAGCTTTTTTCGGCACATCTTTATGTTCTGTGTAGACTACAGGATTAGGGCAGTGCCGAACCTATCAGTGGGCTTACACCCTTAATCCCAGTGTCACACACCCTTAATCCCAGTGTCATCTACTCCAGATTCAACCACCTCTGAAAAAGCCCCGCCTGTGCCCACATGAGGTTTTGTGGGACATCTGGATACAGCCATAACAACCGCTGTGGTTGGGGAAGGAATGCCCGCCCCATAGCCTGCGCTGGTTGGAGACGGCGTGCTCCTTGATGCATCAGGTAACCCACAGCTCATGCCAGGAAGCTCAGGCCGCAACCTCTGGTGGTTGATAGTGCTTCTGCAGCAAAAAGCAGTTTCCCAAAGTAAAATAGCGACCTTCAAAGGGTGATATAGCTGTGCCTAAAAATCCCAGGGGTCTGCAGGAGTTTCACCCGCCTGCACCTCCTAGAGGCACCCATCCCCATTCCGGGAGCAGCTGGGGTCTGATTAGAGGAGTGGAACCTCCATGATAAGGAATGAGATCATCCTAGGGATTAGTACTCACAGCCGCAGGAGCTGTGCACGTCAGTGGCGACTGCTGCCTGTTGCCCTGGTAGGATGTGGAGGGGAGAGGCTGGGCTTGAGTTGGGGAGATCAAGAGCAGACGGAAACCCTCCAGACAAGCCCCAGCCCACCTGTCTGACCTCCCCCAACTCTGGTGCAGGTGACCAGCAGCAGGTGCTGGTGCCCTTGGCCCTGGAGTTGGGAGTGCACCTGTCCCAGAACCCCAAGATGCTGAAGGAGGAGAGCAGGCGGTGGCTGCAGCAGGGAACCCTGCCTGGGTCCTGCACTGACTGACGCAGAGTGCGGCTCCTGCTGGTTCTTCTCCTCAGAGTCCTCGCAGGATTCTCCTGGGGCCAGCCCACTGGAGGCCCTGCTTCACTTGGTGCACACAGTGCAAACGCACTGCAGCTCTCGTTGGTATTTTGGCCCTCGGGTTTAGATTTTTATCTTCAGTGTTATGATTCCCTCCCCCTGTCCTCTTGCCGTGCTCTCCTGCTCAGGGTGCCGGTGAATGTTGCGCGAAGCCCGTGGTGTGACGTGCTGTGCTTGGGGCGATGCCTGGCTGCTCCAGCCCTGCTGGTGGCCATGCAGCACAGGTGTGCATCACCTGCTTCCACGGCTTCAGGGTCACGAAGCTCTCCTGTGTTCTTCATTCGGTCCTCGAGGTAGCATGGAGGAGGACCAGGAGGGCGAGGTTAAAGACTCCACGCCTCCTGTTGTATGATGCCTGCGCTCCTCCGGAGTGGGGTTGGACTTGGCTGGCCCGGCTGTTTCAGAACACAAGTCAGCTCACTGCTCTGCACAGAACCCTGGTGGCCTTCCACCCCGTCGGAAGTGAAAGCCACCACTTCCACCTGGAAACCCACAGAGCATCTCCAGAACTCAGCTGTATTTCCTAATGTGCTTTGCTTGGACACATTCCCACCCCATAGGATCCATCTCCCGCTGGAGTGTAAGAACAAAGAAGGTGAACATTTTCATGTTTTGTGTCTGGCGTGTAAGTGCTGAGGAAATACTTGAATTAAGGGCTGGCTGCTTTTATGATGCCTTAGCTGTGTTCTGTTGATTTGCCTGTGCTGAGCTTTCATTCTTTTTCTTTTCTTTTTTTCTGGAACACCTAATCTGTGCCCATTTTTGGTGCTCAGAACTCTTGAAATGCAAGAGCAAGGAAAGATGTGTATTAGTCAGCTTCCTGTTACTATAAGGGGATAGCTGAGCAATCAAGTTTCATAGAGGAAAGGTTTACTTTGGCTGACAGTTCTGAGGTTCTAATCCAGCACTGAGTGGCCCCGTGCTCTGGGCCTGTGGCAAGGGAGGAGGAGGGCGTGGTGGACCCAAACTGCTCACTTCAGGACAAGAAGTCGAGAGAGACAGGAAGAGACTGGGGTCCCACAGTCCCCTCAAGGGCATGCCCCTATGACCCAGGGACGCCCAGCGGCCCCCCCTAAAGGTTCCACCCTGGGCCAGGTTTGCACCCCAAGACCCTGAAGGGCATTCTTGCTTGAGCCCTTGACTCTTCTACCCAGCCTGTTCCTTCTGTAAAACAGCAAGGTCAGACACCAGAGCGGCCCTGTGGCTCTCATGCTGTACCTGATCAGAGCCAGCGAGTCACAGTGAGGTGGACGTCCCAGGGTCTCCCTGCTACTGCAGGGGACAGGCACGGCAGAGAGGATGCCACACCTCAGAGCACGTGCCCTCTGCCGGGAGCTTGCGGGGCTCTGAGGGTATGCTGAGGCCAAGTCCTGGGAGTGTGTGTGTGTGTGTGTGTGTGTGTGTGCGGGCACAACCCTGGGCAGTGTGCACCACGCACCTTCCCCAAGAGGGGCTGCCCCTAATTTCCTGAATGTGTGCTGCATACCATGACATGCTTTTTTTAAAACCTAGAATATTTTATAGTTTAAAATAACCATTTATTAGAGCGTCCTGCATGAAGTGGAGCCTCCCAGGCAGTGCCTGGCCTCATGGTGCTCCATCAGCACCCTCGCTGCCTTTGCCCTGGGTGTGCCCCTGCCGGTGCACCGCATATCACTCATGGCAGCGTCAGGGTGCTTGAGAGTCCTCCCTCTTCCCCTCCTGCGTCTTCTTAGACTTTCCTGAGGTATTCCTTTCCTCCTATGTGCCAAGCCCCGGCCTCCAGATAGGCGACTCCGGGGTTCCCAGCCCCCCGGGTCCAAGACCCCACTGCTGTGCTAATCCAAGCAGCGTGAGGGCTTCTCTTCCCTTTATTGGGCCGCTGCTGAAGACGATTTTTGGAGCTGATTTTCTCTGAGACCCTTCTGCTCTCGGCTACTCTTGTTTCCTGAAGTTGGCTGAAGCTTTCCAGAAGCGTCTCAGTCCTGTTGTCGGGGGGAGGCAGGACAAGGCGCTCTCTGTCTCTCCACAGCGTTGACCTCACCCCGGTCCCCAGGCTGAGAAGGCGCTGCACAGGGACATGCTGTGCCCCTTCAGTGTAAAATCAAGCGCCCTGGCTCCTGTCTCAGCCCTGGTTCGCGGGGCTGTGGTCTTGGCTGAGTTACTTTGTCTCTGAGCCTCATTCTCCCTCTGCTCTGAATGAGACTGCGGCGCTCGCCCGGCTGCCGTGGCTGCGAGCTCGTGAGAGCCTTTGCAAGCGCGACACAGGCTCCGTGTTCCCGGCTCTGTCCCCGCACCTAGCACACAGACACCAATGCCAGAGGGCACCGCCCGGCGTGTGATGGGGGCTCCGTACTTGGCTGCTGCTTGTCCCTTAGCCGGTTGCCCCAGCACCTCTCCCGGGGCTCCCTGCGGGTGCCTGCCATCCCCACGGCCACCGCACGGTTACCCAGCAGGCTCCTCGGCTCTCAGCTGCTTTTTGTCACCGAGGATCTGCTAGGCTGTGCATCTTTCTGCTCGCCCCTCTATGTGTGGATTCTGCACCAGGAAATTAAAATGCAAACATGACCATGACGATTTTTGGAGCTGATAGTCACCGCTTTGGGCAGTGACTATGTCCCGGACGGATCCTCGGACAGAGGGCAAGTCAGAGGTGCCTCAGACGCTGCCTCCAACGCTGACTCCTGAGTGGCTGCAGGTGCTGATGTGCTGGTGATGGTCTTTGTGTTTGCTCACACACACAGCTCATGGGACAGGTCTTCCTGCCGTTCGAGTCCTTGCCAGGAGCTCCGCTGTCACACCCAGCAGACGTTCTCCCTTCACCGGAGCTTCACCGGCGCGGTCTGGTTCTGTGCAGGCCTCTGCTTGCCTTGTGGGTGCCGCCACGTCATGCTGTCCCCTCGTGGCGCAGTGAGACACACTGTCTCTCTCCCAAAAGGCTCCCAGTCCCATCGGGTTAGCATCCTCCCCTTGTGACCATCTTCAGCCTGAATTACCAACTCGAAGCTTCGTCTCTAAACACAGTCACACTGAAATTAAAACTTGCACAGCTGAGTGCTGGGGAGGCCCCGTTCCATCCACAGCACCAGCCGCGGTGTTCGGAGAGGGCTGGAGGCGCGCTGTGTCCTGAAGTTCCCCGAGATGGGTGCCCTTATCCAGGCAAGGGCAGAAGGGAGCGCCTGTGGTGAAGCCGGGGGCCTGGGCAGAGACCCGAGGAAGTGGAGAGTGTGGCATGCGCTTGGGGACCAGAGCACTGTGTGCCCAGGAGGTGCACTCCCGGGGCGGGGAGGGCAGGAGAGAGCTGGCCTAGCTGGACCCCGAGTCTTCAGTGCCGGGAGGGGTGGGCACTGTGGCTCAGAGGCCTCCAGCACCGAGGTGTGGACACAGGAGAGCAAAGGACCAAGCAGGCAGGAGCTGGAGGTGCTCGCTGTGGGGCCTGGCGAGGAGTGTCCCTGGCCGAGGGTCTGGTCAGGGTCCTGTCCACACAGAGCTGTCCGGATATGGTTGACATAAACAGATGGTGGGGTTTCCGTGGCCTGAACCTTTGAGAGGGGCGTGTGCTGCTTCACAGTGAAGTCTGTGGTGCCGGAAATGTGACCCCGGGCTCGCAGGTGAGCTCAAGCTCAGGTGCCCTTATCCTGCCTGCCCGTCTCTTGGCAGATTATGACTCAGATGCCATGAGCAGCTCCTATGAGTCGTACGACGAGGAGGAGGAGGACGGGAAGGGGAAGAAGGCCCACCAGTGGCCCTCGGAGGAGGCCTCCATGGACCTAGTGAAGGATGCCAAGATCTGCGCCTTCCTGCTGCGCAAGAAGCGCTTCGGCCAGTGGACCAAGCTGCTGTGCGTCATCAAGGACACCAAGCTGCTGGTAAGGGATGAGCAGGGTGCTGTTTTGCGGCCGCTCAGATGACCCGCCTCGCGAGAAGGGACATGCTGGTGCTCAGCAAGCGCTGTGCCCTTTGGGCAGCGCCGGGATCTGGACCCAGCCCACGGGGAGCCGAGTCCATGCCAGCACCGGCGTGTCTTCTGGGATGCTGGCATGACTTCCGGGATGCCTGCTCCCCAGCGAACCAGCGGGTGGGCCCTGTTCCTGGCCTAGGCCTGCAGCTCGGTCCGCGGAAACGCAGTGGAGCCTGCCAGGAGTTTCAGATGGGTTTTCTCATTTGTAGTGAGTCAGTGAATTCCTCAAAGCCAGGTCATAGAAGTGGGAAGGCAGGCGGGGGAGGATGCAGGGAGGGAGGCCAGGAGGGGAAATTCTTTGGGAGAGCTTGAGGCCAAGTCTTTTTTTCACTGGAGAAGCAGAACAGGAAGATCAAGTAGCCAAGGCGGCTGGCTGCGCTGCCGACTCCTCCGGGCCTCCTCCGGAAGCCGGGCCTCTGCGCTGCGACCTCCTGCCCTCTCTCCCCTGTCTTCCCCTCTCTTCCCTCCCTTCCTCTCTTGCTTCCTTCACAAACCAGAGTTGAAATCAGAGCTATGAACTTTACCGTTGAGGGTTTTTTTTTTTTTTGCCTTTTGTTTTCCTTTTAAGTTAACCTGGCGGGTTGGGGGGAAACCACCCAAAGGCTGCCATTAAAACAGAAAGCCTGAGAATTTTTTAATTAATGTTTTTGTTCAGTTTTTTAAATAGTGAGAGTACATGTTTTTTCCACATGTGTGGCCTGAATTTCTCCCAAATGTACAGTATGCCAAAAATGATGCCATGGGGAATTTTAAAGCATGAAAAACACAGAGAGATTAATATGGTCCTTATTTATAATCTGACCTCATAGCTGCAAGATGTGGATATATCACAGAAAGATATTTAAAATACACAACTCTTTTTTTTTTTTCTCTCTCTCTCTCTCTTCCCAGTACTTGGGGTTGAGCCCTAGACTTTGGACTAAGCTACATCTCCAGTCTTTAAAAAAAATTTTTTTTTAAATTTCAAGACAAAGTCTTGTTATATTGCTTGGGCTGGCCTTCAACTTGGGAAACTACGTGCCTTGGAAACCTCCTGCCTCAGCCTCCTCAGTCACTGGGATTAGAGTGTAGCCACTGTCCCGGGCTGTCAGTTCTTATTTAAAAGAGAAGCTCTACACACAGTGTGGGCTGTCTTGTGGCTGTGCTGGGTAGGGGTCAGCAATTCAGGGTCCACATCCTTGGGTCTCTACCTCACCCCTCTACCTGTCCCCTCCTCCTGTATCCTTCGTGCCTCTGCTGTAAGTCTACCCTCTCCACAGCAGGAGGATAACAGTGGAATTGTCCATTCTGAAGCAGTTCATGAAAAACTAAGGAAAGCCCTGTCTTTGATAACATGGAAAACCTGTTATTTCTGTTGTGAAGCTTTTTTTCAACTTTTTTTGGGGGCAAGGTTACTGGGAATCGAATTCAGGACCTCGCATTTGTCAGGCAGGCGCTATACCACTGAGCTAAATCCCTGGCCCCAGTGAAGTTTTGTTTTAACGTTAAGTAGGCTAAGATCCAGTAACCTCTGTTGACAATGAACATGACCTATGTTGACAGTGACATCAACAGTGACAAAGCAAGTACTTCCCAGAGCTAGAAGCAGAAGTGAAAGCCACATCCCTCCTGCGGGTTCCCCGACCACTGACTGAACCCCCTGTGGGCTTGGTCCTCTCTGTGCCCGAGTGGCTCGGGGGGACACTCTGACACCTTCAGCATGAAGTACTTGTTGTGGGCGCTGGTCTCTGCTCCTCCCCAGGCCCTGCACCCCAGGCCCTTGTCTTTTGACTCAGCTGTACTGCTGCCTGTCCTCTGCTGGCCCTCTTCCTCCTCCCCTGCCCCTGGGCTGTCCTTGGGGGCAGTCGGAGAAGTGTCCTGTGTCTGGGCAGCTTCCCTGGGCCCGACTTGCCAGGGTCTCTGGATGGCATTTGTCATATTGCCAAGACCGTGTGCGTTGTGACAGTATAGTATACGGGGGTGGACGAGCTGTGAAATCCCCTGCCTGACCCCTGCTGTGGCACTGTCAGTTTCTCTTTCGCTTTTTCCCCTGCTATTCAAAATGTAAAAAATCTGGGAAATGGAGAGCATTCATAGCAATCTGAGCTTAGCTGGTTTGGGAGTATTTTTTAGACAGGGCAACCATCAGTTGAATTTCTTGAAGGAGATGTATCCCTTAGCTGGACGCTGAGAATCACAGATTTAAAGCTGTGAAACAGGAAGGGCTCCAAAGCGTTAGTGAAAGCAGGCATCTATCCGTTCATTCCTCATGAGTCAGGGGTGTCGGGTCCCGACCCCCCAGCCTGCTGTCCTGGTTCTTGGGGCTGGGTCCTTTCTGACACTCCCTCAGGTACCCAGCAAAGCTGAGCCTCCCCATCTGCACTGGGAGCCGCTGATTAAATGGGATGTATGGGCTGCTTCAGTAGCAGATGTTACTATTACTGATAAATCCATGTAATTTAAGTAATAAGAATAACAAAACACATTTTATTAGTGAAGAAATGGGCTCAGAAAAGAAACTTCCTGGGACCCAGATTAAGTTAGTAACAGAGCAGAGGACGCAGAGACCTGACCTCTGGGCTGGAGTCCTACCTGTAAGAAGGAGGCTTTTGTCTCCAGGTGATAGTTAAACAAAGGAGCTGTGGGCAGAGATTGGCTTTTGCTCTGTGGGTACAGAGTAAGCGGGAACCCCGTGAGCCAGTCCCAGCTCTGAACTGGTCAAGGGACATCCTCAGAGTGGACACAGCAGTGTCCCTGAGGGGCAGGGCATCAGGAAGTGAGGCTGTGACACTTCTGTCTACCAGGCACTGGGATTTATGGGTAATGAGACTGCTCACCTGCCTGCAGGGAGGGGCGTCGAGATGACCTGGGCAGGTGCCACGCCGTGTGGGCCGTGAAGTCCCGCTTGTTACACTGTCTCCCCGCGTTGGGCTGCATGCTTTATACGCTGCATTATTCCGGCAAATGCAGCTGTGTTTTATGTTTTTGTTTACATGCATATATTCCTGGAGCTCACCGAGGCACCCTGGTTGCAGGGGAGCTTTGCTTCCCGCTGAAACGCATCCTAGCTGCTCCTTGCCATTTGTAGCGTGAGCAGGCAGGCGGATGCTTTCCCCGCATGGAAGCAGTGTGTGGCTGTGAAGCGGGACTTTCCCGTGAGGCCCCAGCTGCGCCGTGTCCCCACTGTCAGATGGACCCCGAGGCCCGGCCTGTGCTCAAGGGCTCACACCTTGCAGCAGTGCGTCTTCTCTGGTTCCGTGCCAACCTCCTCACCATGTGTACCTATCTGTTCTGTTGGACGCAGTGCTACAAAAGTTCCAAGGACCAGCAGCCGCAGATGGAGCTGCCGCTGCAGGGCTGCAGCATCGCGTACATCCCGAAAGACAGCAAGAAGAAGAAGCACGAGTTGAAAATCACGCAGCAAGGCACAGACCCACTGGTGCTCGCGGTCCAGAGCAAGGAGCAGGCTGAGCAGTGGCTGAAGGTAGGCTGTGCTGGGCCGGGGCCACCTCCACACCCCGCCTCCTGATCTTCCCCAGTGGGGCACCCCGGTGAGCAGGATCGTCACTCGGCCCTTCTGAAAGAGCCCATCTGTCCCCGCTTGCAGGCTGCCTCCCAGACTTCCTCGTTTATTCCTGTGGTTTCACTTTATTGTCTGCACATGGATCTTCCTTGGTCTGTTCTGCTTGGGATTTGCTGGGCTTCTGGATTGTCATGTTTCTCTGTTTTAGAAAGAATTCCCAGCTGTTTTCTTGAAGTTCATCTTTGCCCCCTTCCCGCTTCCAAGAGATGGTGTTTAATCAGCAGTCTTGCTCAGTTCTGCTTCTTACCCTCTCTTCATATTTTCTGTCCTTTCTTTAGTCTGGGTTATTTTTTTCTTGCTGTCTTCCAGTGCACCGTTTCTCTCTTCAGCTGTTTCTTTTTTCTTTTCTTTTTTTTTTTTTTTGGTACCGGGAATCAAACCTGGGACCTTGTGCTTGCCAGGCAGGCGCTTGTACCACTGAGCTATACCCCCGGCCCTTCTTCGGCTGTTTCTAAGGTGCTGTCACATTCCTTTTGTTTGTTGTGTCATTGTGCCCTTAGCGTTGATCATGGTAGCTGTCCTGGTCTACTCTTGGTGCTCTGATGAGATAGCACAGACTGGGTGGCTCATAAACAACTTATCTGCACAGTTTTGAGGCTGGAAGCCCTAGATCTGGGTTCCTGCAGGCTTAGTGTCTGCAGGCTGCATTCTCCTAGGGAGCCATTTTTTCTCTGTGTTGCTGCCTCACAGGCAGGCTGTAATCCCAGTCACAGGGCTCCCCCAGGGATTTCATGGCTCCTAGAGGCCCCGTGTTACGGTTTGTGTCTAGATGTCCACCTAAAGCTTCATGTGGTCGTGGGGGCTTTTTGGAGGTGGCTGAATCTGGAGTGTGTGATTGATTTGTAGTGTGATGCTGGGATTAAGGGGATTAAAGGTGGGTGATGACTGGATCTGTCCAGATTGGCCTAATCCCGGTAGACTGGATACAATAGAAGGGACGAAAGAAGCTTGTCTCACTCCTCGCCTGTTGCTTTTGCTGTTTTCCGCCACCATGAACTGTTGCCCTCTGCCAGGCCACTCTGCCTTGGAGCCAGCTGATTACAAACCGAAACCTCTACAAGCTGTGAACTAAATAAACCTTTCCTCTCTTAACTTGTGGGTGTTGGGTGTTTTGGCTCAGCAAGGAGAAAAGTAACTAAGACACCCCCGCTCCTAACACCATTGCCCACGGGTTAGGATTTCATCAAATGAACTTGAAGCAACACATGTCATCCATCCAGATAGTTTTCAGCTCCGGAATTTTTGTAGTGGCTTTGTCAAGGGAAGCATGAGATCGGCCTCCAGGACCCACAGTGATGCCCTGGTGGCTGCAGAGGGGCCCCCAGGCCTGGGCTGTGGATGGTACTGGTGCTGCAGGAGGGAAGCAGCGCACGCCGCCTGTGCCTCCAGCCTTTCCCCGTGGATCCTTCACCGCCTGAACCCGGCCCCTTTTGGGTCAACACCCCTCACCCCACGAAATCAGTCCGTGGAGCCACGGAGGTTGGGGACCTCCGGCATGGAGCACGGGGATGTGGTCGTTTAACATTCTGTGGCAGCAGCTTGGTTTCTCTCCTAGGAAGCTGAGGAGAGGAATTCTTTTCTTTCTGAATGGTCCTCTGGGGATTCGTCCCATCAGGCTGAGAAGCTCTCTGTGCCACAGATGCGCCCTGTGCCCTCACCATCTCAGGGCCCTTCCGAGTCTCGGCACACTGCGTGGCCGTCAGCAGTTCCGTGTGACAGCCGGGGCCAACCTGGGAGTCGGCAATGGCTGCTCCGGCTCTGCCTTTCATACCCATCCTGTTCACTTGTTCGCCTGGCAGCTGCCGTCCTCCCTCACCCCTGCCTGCGATCTCAGGCCAGCGGCGGCTGAGTGCGGAGCTTGCTTGCTCCTTTTCTCTCTCTCTTGTTTTGGAAAGGCACAGGCAGACTTATTAGCAGAAAGTGTGTGGGCGCCCGAGGGGCGGGAGGTGCCTTCTTGATGGTTGTCCTTGTCTGGTCGCGTTTGGCCGCATGGACCCCGCTTCGGCACTTGACGTTGCCTTCCAGCTTGTCCAAGCTCCTGGGCCTGCCCTGGCGGCTCCCTCCTCCTTGCCCTCAGGCTGCCAGGAAGTCCTCAGGAGTCAGACGGTCAGATCACCAGAAACCACACTCTTCCAAGCTGCTGCCGAGAGGAATAATCCCGCACCCTGCTCCCTCGGCTGGGAGCTCCGTGCAGACAGAGGCACTTGGCTGACTAGAGTAGTGGCTCTCTTTGCGCATGGAATTAATTGCAGAATCTTTTTAGCACTTGCTGTAGTTCTGAAGAGAGGAGTAGATAATACAAAGTACATTATTTTTTTCCAAGGAACTTACATCGATTGCTTATTCTAATGTTTGTGCCGTTACCTCCCTAACATGACAGTGCAGGACCATAGGGGTCCAGATTAGAAGTGAAGGTCCGGTCACAAAAGCAGTTCCAGTTACTGGACTGTAATCACCTCAGGCCAGCAAGCCCTGAGACAGACGGTCTGATTTTCTTTTCCTCCTGGATGCAGCCAGCGGATTGATTGCCTTGTCACGATCACTTAGAGAGTTTTAAAACATTGATGCTAAGTGATTCAGACTCATTAGGGATGTCAAGATCTTCTTTTTCTGATGCTGTATCTTTTTAAGGTTCCAGAGTCCTACAGGTGGGCTTGAAATGTGCTTCCTCTGCTTAATTCTCTCCCCCCTCAAAGGGAACTTTCACCTTGAACTTGATTATTTTAAAAAATGCTGTTCCCTGTGCACGGTGCGCCAGGGACAGTATGCACCCTCATCGCCGAGCCTTTCTGTGCGAATGACTTCCAGCTCCGTGGCGCCTGCAGGGCTCTGGATTGCCTTACACCTGCGAGGCCCCGTGGCACCTTTCTGTGCTGTCAGGTGGACACAAACCCTTGTGCGTGTGCCCCGCAGTCCCACGTGTCACGGCCTCTCCAGGACGGGCGCTGCAGAGTTTAGGGTGTGCACACCGACAGCCTCACTGGATTCTGCCCAGTCGCTTTCCAGGGCTGTGCCGTTACCCTGCTGCCAGCGTGTGGGGCAGTGGTCTTTATTGAGCTATGTCCACGCGTGTGCCAGCAGACAGAAAGGCAGGCCGAATCGCCCTCAGCCCCCCAGTATTTTCACCAGAACAAAGTGTCTCGGGGGTTTTACCCTGCAGAGCACCGACCCTTCTTCCTTCAGGGTCTCATCACGTAGGTGCCGTCGTTTCAGATGTCCCCAGCCGTGGGCACTGGCCTCAGTCGTTTGACGGGACAGCAGACGCCATGGTCACCCAGCCCAGACAGCGCTGAGCATTCTCCTCACGCTCTTGTCATATAGCCTAAATTCCCAGGAAGCCTAACTGCTCGCGTGAAGGCTCTAAGCACCTGTAATCTCCATGCAGGGCTAAATCACTCTTCCTAGGAACCACGCTCCTGCTGGCAGCGTATCAGAGTGGCCAGCAGAGCGTGGTAGCAAAGTTTTCAGTGTTTCCCCTCTTTCTTATTTTCCTTTTTTCTTCTTCTTTTTTTTTTTTCACAGCAGGCAGGTAATAGGCTGAGACTGTAACAAGGTTTGAGGGAGGCCATCTCACATGGTGTCATGAAAACCCAGCCAAACACACAGGCTTAACTGTCACATGGTCTCTCGTATCTGAGAAACCAAAGGTATAAATAAAGAGCAAAATTAAAGATAATAGGGAAGAAGGAGACAGAGCTTTTTTCTTGCAGATGCATTTAAACTATGTTTTCTTACACGCATAGCCCTAGCTACGGCCTGTGTTTTGTGCCTGTGTTATCATTCCGTTCAGAATATTTTCTGACTGCTGTTTCTTTGGCTGATGGCTTATTTGGGGACATATCGCTGACTAAACAGTCAGTGACTTTGGAAAATCATCCGTGTTTAAAAATCTCTCTTAACTCTGTCGCAGTCACAGGCTTTCTGTGAGTTGTCGTCATGGGGACAGGCAGATGTGATACACTGTCAGAGGAGGGTGGGTTCTGGGACAGGTCCCTGTCCCCAAGCGAAGGACCTGTGCTTTGGGTTGTTCGGTGTGCTCTGGCTTGCACAGACTCGTAGATTGTGACAGTCTGTAACTGTCACGTGCTGATCCTCTGTATCCTTACTTACTTATTTGCTGGTTTTTTCAAAGTAACCTCAGACTTTGTAAGGACGGTTGGGTGGGAGTGAGTCAGTGCCATCATCGCAGCTTCAGTCTCTCTGTGTGGAGGCCACACCTTCATGATTGAGACAAGCTTCCCCTGCCTTTTTTTTTTTGTAAATAAAGAACTGTTATGAAAGAAATGGCTCCACCTAGATGGAAGGTGGTGTGTCAGACAGAAAAGCAGGCAAGGGACCTGAAACCCAGAGCGTGCCCTGGCCCCCCTAAACTCTCGATGGTCGGGTCAGCCACCGCTTTTTTATCTGTTGTTATAGTTTGGGGTTTGGGGAGGGGAACAATATAATACAGGACACATGTTTTATAAGATTATTTATAATAGTCACCCAAAGAATCATATACAAAAGTGAGTGCAGGAAATCTGTCCACACACTAAAGACCAGAGAATCCACCTGAGGGCCTGGATCCTACAGTAATGTCCTGCATGAGTCCAGCTGAAGACCTAGAGCCCATAACAGTGCCTTCCACAAGTCCACCTGGAGGCCTAGAGCCCATGACAATGTCTCATGCGGGCCTGTCTTGTGGACCTGCGCTGGGGAGGCCCAAAGATCAATAGTGGAGGGTAAAAAGTCTGTGCCAGTGGGAGGAAGGGTCTGTACAAGCCGGCTGAGGGATCTGATATGGAGCCAGGAAGCAACGCTCAAAGTAACCAGAGTGCCCCACAAAAGTGCCACAGCCAACCTCAGCAACAGTGAGGTCCCGGCTCCTCTGATGATGAGGAAAGTCGAGTTCCCATCAGGAA